ATACAAACTGAGGGTTGATGGTAGACTCACTTGCAATCCAGCTGAATTTATCGTTTTAGGTGTTTTTGTTAAACTGCATATGTTCCACCAGGTCACCTGATATTTCAGTTGGTACGATAGTTAATGTATCGCAATACGTGTATGGACGTATTCATAACGTTGGTGAAACCTCTTTGACAACTATCGTAACACTAGCCCATTCTCTCAGAAGGACAAAAGGGCAATGTTCAAGCGGGATCACCAGGTGAACCGAACCGAAAGAAGTTGACCCTAAGCAGGACCCAAATCCATAGGCTTCACACTTGATGACCTACCATAAAACACAGCATCGCTTGACCGACACCCAATACAGATTTAGCTTTACTTAATTGTTTGGTTCTTCCTTCGTCTCAAATTCCGACCAACCTCGTAATCTATTCAACTGGCCTGACGAAGGTTTTGTGTCAAAAACGTTGTCCAGCAATAAATCTACCAATCGTTACCAAACTTTTCCGAAAACCAGTCAACTTATTTCTGTAAACAGTTCAACCAGGACAGCTGAAACGAGTGATTTGCATCCATCTTAAATATTCCAAAGACAGATCACCACATTCTGTTAACCATTTTGCCTGTTTTGCATTGTACTTTTTCGTTCGGTTTTCTTAACTGCGAACTACCTTGCTGCAGGCTCTATAGAGTAAGCAAACAAAATTAAAGGTCTTGTTCATGATGAAATATGACTTGTATTTACGTTTGGCGATGCGACCAGCCTTCTGGTGATATCAGCAGCCCAGTAGTCGAGCGTTCTGTTGGCTAAATTAAATAGTAAGGCTTTTACACCAATTCGACGGTTTCTGAAAATTCCTCGACAGCCCACGACCGGTTTCGCTCTTCCTGGAGCACATCATTAGTGAGACTTTCTACTGGTTTCCAGATGAGTCCCCCTCAAATCAAATGAGTGTACCTCGCTAATTTCGTGCAATTGACGGAAACTCGGTAACTGTGCCTACCTGATGAGCCCCGAGATGGGGAAAATCGGTTTTCGAAGTGTTTTCAGCAATCTTATGAGTAGTGTATCGCTTCCAATAAAGAAGTACTTTCAAAAGTATTCGAGCCTACGTAGTTTCAGAACACGTCATCCGGTTTTGTTCTGCGGTCGCCACCGGAGGTGATATGGAGAATGTTGGCAAATTCGACAGCGCTTCGACATCTTGCGGTAAATTCAGTTAATTTCAAGACGAACTGAACTCCCGTAGCTAAATTAGGGAGAAAACGATTTTCTTTTGGACTCGAACATCTAGCAGGATGGACCCTTGAGTTACTGGTTTTGTCGCCAACGTGCTCTTCCTCGTCGAATTTAAGATTATTCTTAAAGTAAGTAGCCTTCGATCATTGCAAGAGCGAAACTATTGTGAATGACAGCCAAATACATGAAAACAGTTTCTGGATGCCCACAGCCTACTGAGACACTTAAACTTCATCAAAATTGCGGTAGAGAAGCCGTCATGCACCCAGGCCAGAAAATCAAACTTCCGATCAAGCACTCAAGTAGTCGATGAACTCGGCAACGGTTGACAAATGCCGAGTACTTTCAAAATTGGCCGTGCGTTTTCTGTACGGCCGCAGTGTACCGAGAACACTGATTGGGTTTTCCGTTCGTATGACAGTCTTGTGCAAGATTAACGTGTCATCAACAGGCAGCTTGTAACAGTACATAATATGGGTCCCTTGTGGTGTGCAAAGAGTTGCTGTTCAACATAACCGGTGCCTTCCTTTGCTGACATCCTGAATTTAAATTTAACATTTTATCACCCAAAAACATTCGAGATACTCGATTCCGAGGAGGCTTGCGCAGGTTTAGCTCAATTAATCCACTCAGCTTTAAACGCTTGTCTTCTTTTACAATACGTTCTGGAAGTTCTGGACGTTCTGGAAGTTAACGGAAAATAATCCATTACTTATATGCAGTCGACAGCTTCGAGAGAGCAGCTAGATCAGCCATAGGCAAATTTGGGCAGACAAAATTACCCCTAGGACTAGTAGCTAATAAACGCCAAGATAATTAATATATTGCGTCAATTTAGCATTTCTAAAATATGCCTATCCTTTTAAGGAATCGGAAGCAAGCACACACGGAGTAATGTCAGACATCACAAAGTGACGACGAACACTAGCTAACTATCAATGATTAGTAAAAGAACGTCCAAGAACATAGTACTTTTCCAGCCTTGCTACTTTAGCTGGAGAAACGAATTTCAGACTCCGAAAATCTAAGACATGGATAGGATGGACAGACTGGCTAATGGGAACAGTCGAGCAGTGTCAGCCTGAGTGGTCATCGAGCCAAATCGCGAATGATGAAACCGAACTGGGCGTAAAATTATTTAATCAAATATGCGTAGGCACTCATCCATAGAATTTCAAGTCTGCTTATAATTTCATTAGTCCTTTTTGGAATTATTATGACATTCACGTTGTTTGAGTGCTATTAAAAATTAACCTGGCTCTGCAACCCTCGTATCCTAGTCCGATGAATATTCTTTAAACTGGATGGAGCGAACCACTCGCTTGGCTAATTTCAACCAAGCAGCGAGATAAGATTATCGCACTCCGCCTTGACAGGGATCCGGCAGGTTGAATTGCTCCTTTGTTTTGTTCACCACTGAGTCTGCTGAACAGAAATTATCCAAGGTCTTGGGGCTAAGTAAATTTCTTTGTTAGGTTGGATTTCACACAGAACTTCCAACAATTTTATCAATCAACTCTCCGCACCGACCTTGCATTAAATCACAGCACTAGCGAAGTACTGGGCTGGAGGTTTCTGTGCGGCAGTAATGCAGCGAAGATGAAGCCCACAATCAGAGGACACCGCTAAGGCGCGCCTAAAGTAGTCTTTCCAGACAATTACTAGTTGTTGCAAAGTCCCACCTAACATCAAAAAACAAGTCACGTTCGAATGGGATAAAAAGGCTTCATTACATAACGCGGTTGGATGGATATATTTATGAAACCATTATTGCAGCATCTTTCATTTTATCAGGTTCCAGTAATGCGCAAATAAATAACCCTCAGCGAAAATTAAACGCTACGTCTTATGGAAAACTCCATTTCCCATTACGATGAGCTGCCAGTTTTTTTTAAAATTTCAATCTAATTTGAATCGATCAACAATGAGAAAGTCTGCGTCGATTAAAAAGAACCACGCTCACGAGGATTCTACAAATTTACCATAAATGGGATGGGACATGAAAGTGTGACAATACGAGAGTCATATCAGATGCAGTCTTAATACAGTCTTAATTTGCTTATCGGACTGATGCCTTGTTAACTTATTTCGACATGAACGGAGAGGCGGCAAGTAAAAAGTCCCGGATTTTAAATGCACTACTCTTGCCAATGTTGAACCATGTTTTATGGCCTGCAGTCCTTGGCCCACCCAAGACCTTGGTCTACACAAAGGACCATGCATCACACTTTCGTGAAGCGCTTTTCCCATAACGTCAGTCACCTTGAACTGAAGGACCAGGAGCACATCATTTTTAATCATCATTTTAAACTATCACCGTGAACTATCAGTGTGAACATGAACGCGCAAACCCAGAGAGTAAAGAAAAGTAAAACAAAGTAAAACATTTTGTAAAAAGCTAATAGAAGTTGATCGGTGATGGATCAGAACTTTATCCAATCCGTCGGTGTTGATCAATCGTACTGTCATTTACGCAAGTTATTCAGACAGTGTAAATCTTTGGTATTTCTGTTTTACTTCAAAATAAGCATTTCTTCTGAAACCATCTTCCAAATCAAATAACATCAAGGTCAAATGTGAATTCATGAATTAACAGTTTCCCCAACCGTTGCAGAAATCTCCTATGTACTTGAGTTGCACATTATACCCAATGCCAGTAACCCATGCGTTCCCACCAGCCTGAATGATCTCAGTTTTACCTTCTTAGATTATTATTGTTGGTACAGATCCCCACAACGCCATAAATGGTTGTAAAATGTAGCTGAGCCATCCTAACAAGGTATTTTAGTCGGTTATAACTGCCCGCAATAGTTCTAATGCGTAAGTAAATTTGAGATCTTTACGGAACCCTAATAATAACGGGCATAAAAATTTGTTCGGTGGGTAAATTGTCCGTCTGAAAAGTTGCTACTCAAGCAGCCAGCCAACAAATGACTGCAGAATATGGATCCCGTTATTGAAAGACAAGTGGTGTTTCGTCCTTTCTAAGTGCGTGTAATCCGCCGCTAATGGTCTGACGGTTAGGTGCTCAAAGTATTAACCGGGCTTGAAACACTCTGGGGTTTCGGTGAAATAGCCGTACAGAGCTGGAATTTTCGTAACACTCCATTAAAATTCCAAAATCACGTTACATTATCTTCAGTGATGCGTTGTTTTAGCAACTTCTACATCCACTAACATGCTGCATGCCAGTTGCCACCGGCAGAATCGTCAGTTCCGAATTAGTTGAACATTTTTGTCGTTGTTTTCTTCAAACAACTATATGTTGGGTTTGTTTGGGCGATACTGGAGTGTTTTCCACTCCCTAGGATCCTAACAAGTGAACCCTTCGGATAACAGATAGCCCTACGGAGGATAGGTTGAATGTTGTTGTTACGGGCTTGTTTAACAACAGTTTACTGAAGTTGAATATTCCATTCATTTGGCTAGCTGATTATTGACAACTGTTTGGGGAGCCCAAACCGAATAAGATCCATAAAGTGCGTATAATATGCAAACCCCGAAGCAAGCAGTGAAATAGGAGATGGCCGTAGGCAAATCTTCTGGTGAGACCTTTGTGAGGGTCGGTTTCCTCCGGTTATTTTACACATATACTGTTAGTGAGCGCACTACTGTCTTCTTCCATTGACTCAGTTAATGCGGAAATTAGCAAGTGAAGCAATGAAAGCTTCCGCGGTGTGTGTAAGAGGTGCCAACAAATGTTTCAGACGCACTGTTCGTGGAACATGAGCAGAGCGCGAGAACCATTTTTCAAAACTCCATGAATTATCCTTCGGTTGACATTATATTTTGGTCAAACCGAGCTTTTTCACTCTGTGGGGCAGAAGTGCAGAATAGACAATCACAATCTCAACGGGATTTTACCATTTTGTGTACAAGAATCGGCAGGCGCTCGTCAAACACAAATATCACTGATTGAAAGTGTCGAGGTAATTTGGAAGTGTTAGAACTGAAGAACAATAGGAAGAATTTCGAAGTCCTAAATTCAAGCTAGAGATGGAATGAGGATTGGTCAGATGCTTGGTATGCACTAGAGTATATGATGAGACATGTTTCCCCAAAGTTTACTCACTGGAAGAAAGGTAAAGTCCTGATTCCTTGTACAAGATGATGAGAAACTTTGATAGGAGATGCGTTTAAGAGGAGAGGAACTCGCCGGTGTGTGGTTGATACTTGAAAGTGATCACAAATTTGATGGATAAAACAGCAAGAATTCAGAAAATCCGCATACTCGGGGCATGCCGGTTCTTCGAAAAGACGAGAGTAAAAACGAATACAGATGACTGTACAGGACTTGGGCAATCTCCATCCATCAACGCACGAGGCAAGAGTAGAGATCTCCTAAGGAAACTGAGTAGTTACAAGGGAGCTAAGAGATCCTTGGCTGAGGTCCCTGATAACTGAAATCCTTCAGAAGAATTCATATTGTCTGGAAGCAGGGCGGGTTTGCTGGATGAACCGGGTGAGTAGTGACTAATAAGACCTAAAACATGGAAAGCAGCGCATGTGTATTATGTATTACAATGTATGTATGTATTACAATGTGCTTACATTTCTCGGTTTCGTCACATCTCTGGAACTCACATTCCCTAGAATATTTATAGACACAGCATGTGGCAGCTAAAATTATAATCATATACTCATAATCCTCAATGGTGCTGAACCAGTAGACGGATAAAAGTGTTACTAATAAGAAGTTCAGTGTACTGAATCAAATGACCTAAATAGGGGGAAATATTTAGGTGGGTGTCTTCAAGACTGCGGTAGAAATTCCAAAAGCAAACCGTTTGTACTGGAATTTGACGGTTAAAGTTTGAGCTACTGATGACTGTATTTCAATACAGTTAATTAATGTTGATCATCATAGCCATCATAACCATTGACGGCAGACACCAATACTGGGACCCGTTGCTTAAGTGGCATATAACTATGGAGGGCTAAGGTTCCATTAGAAGGCGAAAAGAGGGGGAGAAGGGTGGAGTTACTGAAAAACATCCTATGTTTCTAGGAGAGAGGATGAGGACAAGTTAACTACAACTTTTAATTAAATATAACAAAGCATCACAGTGGGACAACAGAATATCAGCCGCCGAGCATCTTCTGCGAACCTCATCAGCACTTAGTCAACACATGACACAAGGATTAACTCGACAATCCCTTCAAGACTAGCCACTGAGCGTGTTCGAGTGTTACGTTCTTGAGAATATATAACGATTTCCAAGAAAGGCCACGTAAACTCTACCCAGATAGACACCACGACCCCACAAAATAAAAAAATATCCCTTTTATTGCTCATTGTCTGAAACGGTATGTCCTCCGAAGACCCCTTGATAACAAGAATTTAGAGCAGAAAAAACGTCCTCTTGGTAGACGAACGTCTCACATGCGCAGGGTACGCCATCAATGCAGATTTTTGACAAATGATGGTCCTGCAAGAGAAGTCATTGGACTTCGTTGAACACCGCTTTTGCGTAGTGAGCCGCTGGTACTCCTTATTGTTGAATTGCCATCATTTGGGAAATGAAGATTAGACCCCCACTAGGGAATATTCTATCATGCATCGGAAATAGCATAAAAGGCACGGTGAGTTTCTGGAAAATATTCACCATACATTTGTCAAAATCTTTCACTAAGACGGGATGTTTCAAAATGTTCACACTTAGGTTGCCTTTTGGTTCCTTCTTAAAAACAGCCAGCGAACGATTTCGCCACATACAGCAGCAGCTTAACGGTAGCACAAAAATTCTATTTTCGGACAGATATAAAGTGGTGTTCAAATATACACAAGCCTAACTTCTACTTTGAAATCATTCGATATCTTTGAATTTATTCTGACCATATTCTGTGGCCAAGTTTCCGATAATGCAATGAGCAGGCGAATTTCGTGTGCCCAGTATCAATGACAGGACTTCTGACAAAAAAGTTTTTACTGCTATTTCGCAATGGGAGCCATACATATATCTTATTGCCGTGCTAACTTGTAGTCCGACCAACCTGTTCATCCGTACAAGCTGGCTCTTTCGTTCATCTGGGCAACTGGATAGCAAACGTTCTTTCTCCGCTCTAAACGAAGCTACCACACAGGGTTCGTTTAATCGACAAATTTTCACTTATTTGTGTTGCACTCCTCCCTACCTAAGTTGCAAGTGGCACTCATGGCATTTTGCACATATCGATTTATGTCTACCGATACATCCTTGCATTTACATAGGCACACCCGTATTTTTATTTGAATGGTCATCGACTTTCCAAGCATGTAGTTTTTAAGTTGTATTTCACTCACATCATTGATTTTTGACTGTTGCACGGACGGTTACCTGCTTGTTGCAAACAGTCCTGATATGGGAAATCAGACTGTTCGAAGCAGACTTAAGGAAACGGTTATGCGGATGGAATACATAATAGCAGAAACATAGGTCACTGGCGTGGGCCATTCTTCGCCAGATGTGCGTCTGCCAATTTCGAATTTTTTTTAGTTCTTTGTTGAAGTTCATATCTTTGGTGTCCTCAGGGCACAGTGCTAGTAATCTCATCTTTTTTTACCGCCTGCACACGTTTGCCTCCTCCGAATTTATTTGAAACTATGATAGATGCCTAAAACAAACCTGCGATCCAGATCACCTGAGTGGCTTAACTAATTTCAAATACTCATGCTTAAGTAGCCATCGTTGATCAAGTCAACTCCCCTGATTAGCAATGTACCTCAAAATGTTTGAGGAACTTTCTTACTCCTCTGACCACCCCGTCCAACAGAGAAACTATTAGAAGTGTGATTTAGCACTTCCTCTGCAAGATGCTTGATGATAAGAGAGACGGAAACATCGGGTGCCCCCTTCACGTCACTCAGTTCGACCTGTCCTCCTCTTGACTCGGTCCTATAAGTTCAACCCAATGACAGAAAGCTCTGAACTGAAGCTTCGATCGTGTAAGAGCAGCATATATCTTTGGCCATACCGAAATCGGCATGCAAGGCGAGTGTACTATCACTATCCCACAAGCACATCCTGGACGCATCTGATTTATCAAATCTGAACAGGCGAGCGTTTTCACGCTTGGGCGATGTGATTGGTTTGCCCCATGCATCAACTGTCAGGACCTCTCACTCAGGTAGTGCTGCGAGATCTTGAAAACTACTGAGCAAGTTAACTCGGTGGATTTAGTGTTCGTAGGCAAACTAATGGTAACGAGCCTGCCTTGCGTGTTAGATATTCGGAGCCAAACCTTGGTACGGTCTAACTAGAATGATTGCCCAAGGATGGAAGGAGAACTTTTCAGAAATGAGTGATATGAAGACGAAATTTTCAAGCCATGCTCCCACCTACAATTATCGTGCATGCCGAGAAACAGGCCAGGAATATTTTTCCCTGGGCGATTTATTTTGAGAAGAGTTTTGCAAGAGTATAAAACTCTAGATACAGTTTGGATCACAAACTTCCTTCGTTTTTTTTTCAAAAAGCCTGTCATTTCTTCCCGAGGAAAGCCACCGACGATTGCCGAAACGTTGACTAATAAACATAGGTATATTAATACTGACATTTCCACTATGACCTCACAAGTTTAATTATTGTTGTTGGTATGAGGAGCTTCGGGAAATTTAAATGGAGATCTTAACGCGTAAACAGAGCCAATTTGTGTCAAAATCCGTACAGTTACGGCTGCATCATCGTTGCCGGGAATCCTCAGCAAAACGCAGCTCAAGAATTCAAGGCAGTCTAAAACCCGCGACCTCCCGGCAAGTTACTGGGACACTCAAATACCCGGCCGTAATCAGCTTATCAGCATAGTGATCAGCAACTAGATAAGATATGACACGGCTAAGCCCTAAGTTACAACATCCACATCACGTGGAACTAAGCTTTTCAAGTGGTGGCCCCTAAAATGGAAGTTTTACTCATCAGGTGAATTTTATTCTTCATTTGAGTTTCGGGGATGATAGGCGCTGTGCCGTAAGTACGAATCACTCAGTGTTGCTTAGCCACTCACACGGTTAGGCGTTTAGACTACCAGCCGGACTGTTGCGCGTTCGAGACTCTTTAGAGTTTCGTGAAATGAGCACTCTTGATGACCTCTCATAAGGATGAGGCATCCGCATTGATTTACTTCCATACACGAAGAAATCTCCAATGGAAAACTGAAAATGCGACACAACACTAAATCCCCTCGCTTTATTTGCACAGAATCCGGTGTGGATATCCTATAAAAGTCCTTCTTAAGTTGTCATTTACCAAGTCTCAGTAAGGCGTTCAGGTTTGATAATAAGTCTGTTGTTCGATTGCCTGAATGTAGATAACAACCCCCTACTTGAGTCATCATCGTAAGCTCGTTGAAAAGTACATTAGACGCCTCTGTAACAGATGACCCGCAGATTATAATGTAGGTTGTTCCTTGAGGGCTCGTAGGCTGTTTGGTTCTTATGAGTCCGTTATTTGGAAACCAAAACTGTCGTGATGAAAATTAACTTATAAAAGATTAGAAAAAGTTCAAAAATGTCTGACAATACCCGTTTCACTACTAATTTTATCCTTGGCTTGTAGATTCTGGGCATTCCAATTAGATTCATGTCGAATGAAATAGTCCGCCTTGAAGTATTACTTAGTCCTTACGAGGGTGCATTAGGCCTACTTACGCCCCAGTGAATGTACTTTCCCTAAACAAAATAACTACAAATTTCTACAGATTACGCAGCACCGCTGTAATTACGTATTCCATGAGTCTGGGGAAACGATATTTTGTCGCTATACTCTAATTTTGACCAGTGTATGTTGTACGTACGTTGTATTGCAGTATGTACCACCTATTTCGTGCCCCCAGAGTGAATTCACGTACACCAGTGTTGGCTAATCGTTGCAAACAACTGACTGGTGGCGCAAATGCAGTCGCCATAAAAAGAGTTCATCTGTGACTCGGAGGCACATACGTTCCATCGATTTATCATACATAATTTAAATCACGGATTGCATCATGAATCATACAGTCGATCGGTTTTCAGTGGCTTCTGATTCAAGCATCCACAGGCCTCATTTCCTGGGAAGTATTGTCATATCAGGAATATGAATGTAATATTTGGGCATAATGGTATCCTTCTTACAAATGACTAACCTTCCTTGTTCGAATCGGCAGCAACCGCTGTGCCAAAAACTTAGCCAACTGAAGGCACACCAAAAAACCAACCATCGCCAATGTAACAGTTAGTCCAGTTAAGATGAGCTGCTGACAGGCATTTAGTAGCAATGCTAGGCTTCCCGTAGATAGGGCCATTCCTAGCTCCTCGGGTAACGGATCACCGGATTTGAAGCGCGAGTTCTTTGACTGATTCGTTGCTGAAACAAAAGTTGCGTTACCTCTCCAGAGGACATCCCTCGATTTGGTCAGCCGAATAATGCGAGAAGACTGACCTGAAAAGAATCAAACCTGATGTTGAGCAAAATGGTTTTACTTGAATCAAATGTATCATTTGAGACAAACCAAAGATACCCACAATACCGTGTGCTCAAAGTAAATCCTTTAGAGTTTATTTGTTCCAGCCCATCTATTCGGGATTGCATAGGAATTCACTCTCATTCATAGAGATAAAAGTATTGCAAGGTAAGACAACGGGGTTTACCGATTGTTGGGAAAGGTTATTTGAAAAAATTTTCAGGAAACATTTGGAGATCTTGATCCCTGCGACTGTCAGATTACATATGACAGCTAACCGAGAATAACATTGTTTATTTGGATCCCATCTTGCCATTCCTTTTTCATACAACGTTAGTCAACAGGACGTGTCTTAACCAAAGGATGCTAAAGCTCTTTGAGCTCATTTGAATTGGAACTATATCACCGGGATTAGTAAATTGTTGGTAAAGCCTGAGATCGGAATACGAATGCTAGTAGTTGCAGTTCTGTGGCTCCCAATTTTCTGGCTTCAGCATCAGTTTATTATTGAACACTTGGATTGAACTTTATACTTCTTTGAATGACATTAAAACCGAAGTTCTTCGTTCGACTCCTGCAATTCTTGGGCTCAATACAAAAAACTTCACCTAGTGAAGCGTCCCAGATAATGTTTGTTAACAAGCTGATTGGAAACCAATGGCACTGTAAATAACACTGAAAAAGTTCTTCGTTTCACCTCATGTTGGATTGGTTCATGGTTGAAAAAGAACGAAGTGACGGACCCTCGGTAATTGTAAGCCAGATGGTTTAGGTCTACTGGATTTTTCAAATGTCTAGAGGATGGTGGTTAATCGGGCCTTCGAAAGTACCTGTTGCGAAAGTTTTTTCTGATAAAAAGTGAAACAGATGTGGATCACAGAAAGGCGGTGATAGAAGAAAAATAAGTCATAGAACGTTGACCTCTTTTGTTATACGCTTACCTGTATTGACATGTACCTCTGTAATTAAACATGTATCGATAGGGCTGTTAGAGTGGTTTGAATAGAGGTAAATGCTATAAAGCTACTTAAATGAGTTCCGGGAATCTCCCAAATGTGGGTTTGTGCGCTCCGTGAATCACGTGTACAATGGAGACATTTTGGATCACGTCATTTGCGGGATTTGGTGTAGATAAATCACAAGTAACCTTCGTCCTATGTTCACAACATATAGAAAGTCCCGCACTCCGTGCCCAATTTTCAACCCGCATTTCTCCAGTCTTTTCACGTACAACAACATATTTCACTGCTTTACACTCAAGTTCCAGTTATATATTGATTGTGTCGAACGGATTCACTTTTAGGAACATTGACGTTTTGCAGAAGAAATGAGAATTTACCCAGGCAAAGAAGGGTATGCCCGTGCGCGGAATTCATGTGTGTATAAAAAGTAAGAGTATATTTGTGGAGTAATTGCCTGCCTGTTTTCTGTTCTTTGGGTTTTAGGGGGGTCAATGAAAAATCATCTGGTTAGGCGCGTACAGAGTCACACCGCGGTAATAGGGTGTCTTTCAGAGATCATGTCAGAAATGGCATAAACTATTGAAACGCCCCACAGCTTTTTTGTGATCGAAGCTATTATTGTTCATACGATCTGTCTAACATATATTTTGCATGATTGAATTAAGAATTTCATACTTGTGAAGCTTTTGGTCAACAGCGGAATCATTGAATGCGGAAATACGCCTAAGCCCCTGTTGCATTTTCTTAACAAGCAGTTCATTTGCAATGATTATTATTGCTGCGAACTACCAACACGATTTTCCGAGATTCCTTGTTCTTGTGCACTTCATCCGCCTCTTTATACGGTAGAAAGCCACCCAAGTTTAGGATGTTTGGCCACTTAAAACGGAGAACTCAGCAAAGATTTCTGTGAGTTATTAAGTTTTACAGCTTTCCATGAATTATATTCCCACATCCGGGTACCTTAGCGAATTCACTTAGAGAAATTCCAAATATGGGTTCCCACTCACGATGGTTTTATAATCTGCATGAATAGATTGCATAGATTCGATGGTTGTCTTTTGACCAGAAGCTTAACGGGCTCTTTTAGAAAGCAAAGTCTGGCATTTTGGCTACGCATGGATATGCTGCACAGGGGATGCGGTTTAGAAATCCTGTCTTATTAGCAAATCCTTTACGGTCACGGCCATCTCAGGAGATTCGGGAGTTTAAACTTTCCTTTAACAGATGTTTCATCCCGTGGATGAAATTTTAATGTTGTGCAGACAAATGGAACTACACCTGTGACAAAACTACTCGTGGGAAACGAAGAGCAGATATATTGCTTTGGGTGTCGTAAATGAAATGGCTGCTAGACTGGAAATGGATTTTTTAAACGCAACTTACCTTCAGCGTATGTAGCTGGTACGATTGGAGTAAAAACACAGGAAGGTATTTGAAGAAAATCATGGTCCAACTTCCCGTCAGAGGTTTGGTTATTGGATCCATGAAATTGTTCACTAATGTGATTCTGCACTGAACTTTTAAGCTGCCCACTTGCATCAAACAACGAACACGATGTTGGTTCTGACATGGATATTGCTTCCATCGTTGGTGGATAGGCCGGAGAAGGATTTGCTTTTCTCGCCATGTTCTGCAGATTTTGTCGCGTACGATCAACAGTGCAAAGTTCATTAAGATATCCTTGATAAATCTGTAACTGGAAAAGTGAACTCGGTTCCACTGATGGAACTAATAAAAACATTTACTGAAAAACCATATTCATGAAAACTGAGAAGTGCTGTATTCAATTTTTATTATTTATGACGATCTTTCCATAAGCTAGTTTTTTTTCAATTTAGTTGTTTTCTTGGTTTTAAACATCCCGCACTTCTACTGTGTCCATTTAATGTGACAAACTCTTGGGCTAATTTCCCATTATTCCGTTATTCGAACTGGAACACAAGCAGGTCTGTGTATGTGATCAAACTTATCAAATTTATCAAAATCCAACTCGGCTATTTGGAGGAGAGGGAGAGAGACAAGACTGTCCCATGTGGACGAATGTCAGTCACACTTGAATGCGCGCATGTGCTTGCAGACAAATAGCGCACAAGCAATAACTGAATAGAACAGCTTGGGTGAGATTTATTGACGTTATTTCTTGACAAATGCTGTGTTGATCAGAACTGTTGGTGTTTTGGGCTAGGTTGTGAGAACACCTCAAGGATAATTGAATTGACTACTTGACGAGTAGACGAACGGTCTCCCAAACAAAGTGAATTGTTTAGCAAGTTTGCTTGTTCATTTTGAACACGGGGATGATGTTATTTCTTCAAGTGGTCTGATGATACCTATAGACGAATGACTTCGTGCGCCTACAAATAATAACAAAGTCCACTTTAGTCCTGACAGAATTAGTGTGACAAGGACATCATTACAGCAAGATCACCCAATGGAGCCGGTAGATGAAAAGATTCTGACATCAGTTTCAACCGGAATACAATCTGAAGCTGAAAGATCAAATTGATTGAGGCTAATATGTCCATGCTTACCACCTGGTGCCATCTTAACAAATTGACGATGCGTTCAATTGTTTAGTTTGTGCGCGTTTTAGATGAACGTCTGCCAATCTTCATCCTAAATAAATTGAAATGTGTCAGTACTAGTGTTATAGCACTGGTCTTTAGTGCCAAGAAGCAGCTGAGAGTCATGCTGCATAGCGCAGCATGCTGAAGCAAGATTTTTTTTAGTCTAACCGTCTCAGTTTACTGTCATTGTCTTCCAAAAGTTTAGTAATGTGATCCAAAATGAATAATAGGTTCCACGCATTACTCATTATTAATACCTTTTATGGGATCATCCGTTAGGATTAATAATCTGTTCGTCCTACATCGGTCTTGTCCACAGCATCCGTGGGTCACCCGGTGCTGACAGCCTAGACACCCATATTATTTTAATGTCTTTTTCTCGCATCCTGTAGTAAGTATGGAATAGACTGCTCTTGCTGTCGGGCGTGAAATCAATGTACCCCCTAATATGGAACAAAAAATCGAGGCCCAAGCACAGTCGATAAACTAACTGCTCCATCGTTCCCCACCCTGTTCCGAACACTAACATCTGGCGATCCAAAGCACTCTGCCGCTTGATTTTCGAGGGTTGGTATCGCTCTGACTCGCCCGGAAAAAGTTTTATTGGCAGCCGGTTGATAGTCGTCTACGCGCAGTTTTCCCAGCAACATTTGTTCAGAGTCTCAAATGAGAAAGGCTGACTGTTATCCGTTCACCGTGTCTGCTTAAACCCAATTTGATTGTGGCTCGGACTCCACCAAAGGCACGTTTTATGAAGCCTTGAATTCCCCGTTTAGGTGGGCTAAAACTTCAGATATCATTGTGGTTGGCGGAAATTCGAATGCACAAGTAGGCAGGCTTAGCGGATCTGAGGTTCAGTCGGCTGTTCGGCTTGGACTGAACTCAGTATGCGCGGATATTTGCCCACAACTACTTCAGTTACGTGCTAAAAACAGAGTACTACGTTCTGAAATAACCGACATCGACTGGCTGCATGCAAGAACCAGACCAAAGTTGATCATAGTAGCAAATACCGCTGGTGTCGATCAATGGCTGTCTACCGCTCGCTCTGGAACACATATGGATTCTGACAGGGTCGTCTTTATCTTCTATGATCGTATAAAGGGTGAACAAATCGCTTAGCAAATGAGAGGCTGACAGGTCCTGAATTTAAGCGATTCCAAAAGAACTCTTTCCTGAACCCCTCCAGTTACCTCACCGTTTGATGTCAAATCACGCTAGAACGAGAGGGCAAAAATTTTTCACGATGCTGGAATTTTCGCCTTCACTAGACCATTGCCAAATGTACCCAAGAAGGATATCGGAAAGTGTGAATATTGAATCTCGGGTAAATTTCCCCACTTTTTCCAAACACAATTAAGCCAGGGAAGCAAACAGACATTCAGTGAAAATTAGAGCTTACTCTGACCATGAAACTTGGTGGAAAAGAAAGGCTAAAAACTGAAGAGGAGAGAAGGACGGGGCTGCGAAATAATATTTCGGCTGATCGTATGAAAGCATTAAGTATCAAACTGGAGCTAGCCTATCTAACAAAGGACACCTTGAACAACGGACGCATGATTTCGACATATCTCCTCTCAAGTGTGATCTAGCCCCCTGTTTGCATTTCCTTCTGTCCGCACTGTTCAAGCGCTGATTTCCTCACTTATCGCTTACCTGATATATTTACCTTCATGTGGAAAAATGAGATTGTCTAAATAAGCAGGAGAGATCGGTTGAAGTTCCCCTATTTAAGTAGGAATTTCACTTTCGATATAATGGGTTCTTTGCATTCTCAGACATCCAGACTTGTCGGCGTATGTCAGGATGTGTCTAGGATCTCCCGAACAAAAGTGGCACCCAGAAATGATGCTCGTTCCACCCATTTCTGTTTAGTGGTTTTATTGACGAACCAGCGCCCAAACTCGTGGTGAGTTGAACATGAATTGCACACTAAGATTAGTGTTGACAAAATGTCTACTACTGTAGAAGTTGTTGTAATAATATGAATGTGCTTCCCTTTACAATCCATTATTGTTTTCCGCTTACCATAGGATTTCCAAGTTAATTATGGTTTTACCACAGCAAAACACTAGTGTATTAGTTTTGCGCTGCCAACGGTTGTGCTGTTAATGCTAACCGTAAAAAGTTGAGATAGTTGCTGGATCAGGGTGATCGTAACAATAACCGTAGGCAACAAGATAGCCTAGTTCTATTCCCCCAGATTTCAACAGAATTTACGGATCTTGTTTCCCGAAAGAGCTTGTGTACATTAAGATCTCTTTTAGCGGAATCAAAATAAAGGTGGCATAGAATGCGGAGTTGGAACATCCGAATAAAGAGCTGGTTCAGTTTCGCGCAGGTTTTACATCATAAGGGGCAGTTAGTGCCAACATGCATTTTTAATTTGCATTCTGGTCAGCTGTGAACACAGATGAAGTAGAAATGAAAATTGGCATCCATGTCAAAAGTTTCACTACGCATGTTTTCTTATTTTCCGGGGTTTTTAGACATGTAAAATCAAGGCGGAACACGGTAGCATCCTTCAAAGGACTACATTCAGGTGGTATGAGGTGGTGCAGAGAACTCTTTTCTAACAGTATTCCTGATGGGAAAAAATATCCAGTGAAGAGCACAGCAAGCACAGTCAGAATATAGGATAGCAAATTTTAAGTTTGCGTGTCCCTCTAAGAATTTAGAATGTGAAATTTGGAAATCCGACTGCTTCACACAATTTAAAAAGTCTTACTCTTTCATGTTGAATCCGTCGTATCATTTGTTTTATTCGGTGTGCATCCCGTCTAAAGGCTTCACGTGCGACGAACCTGACTTGCTTGTTCCAATAGTTAGTTTGCGAGTTCTTCAGAATGGAATTCGTTCGCAAGCGACAATCCTCCAGTGCGCCAGTTCGAACGATCAAGCCGGTTCTAATAAAAGTGATTTGAGCCAAATGAGATTGGTCGCATGCTTAATTCCAAAAGCTCAATGACGAAACAAGAAGCAAAATATTAGTGGTTGCATGTGCTCAGACGCAGTCGCTTTGTCACGTTCACTGCTCCATTTAGGAATCATTAAGAACAGTGTTATCGCCCTCGTCGGCAGAGCCTACTCATACGATACGTTTTTTTGTCTGACCACTAGTCAGCGTGTGTAACCCCGAAGGATGGACTACATTTCCTAACATTATATGATCCGTCTGGGATTTCGCACATTGTGAATGGATGTACAAATTGTCTGAAGCTTGGTTGCTGCGCGCCTGACTCTAATTGTAAATTTGATGGAAATTCCTTGACTAGCATTTCTGAGCCTTTCAGAACTGATTGATCCTAACCGAGAGTCAGTATAAATCTAACTTGACCTCATGTTAATTTGCCCATCTAATTGTACGTATGTCTGTACTTTTGACTCTTCACTTGTTTCGCTTATCTGTACCCGTCACTCACTCCGCCTCAGAGGCTTTCCCGTCTGACACTGTATTAAAACGTCTATGTGTCACATTCACACTCACACCCGCGTCTTGCTTGCTGAGTTTGCCTTGACTTTTCTCATGAGTCCCGTGTGATCCCATCGCCGATAAGAATCACGAGACTGTCATCGGAAAGGACGACCGCATTCAGACTACTGAGCCAACATTCCGCCTTCTGTTGTTTGGTATGCGGACGATGACATTGCACTATTTCGGTCAGGGACAGACTTGTGCACTTTTTGACGCTACCAACATGGACAATTGAGGTTTATTGTATAAATCTGCTTACCAACGTGCGGATACTACAGTAGAATTTCGAACCCTATTCTTTTGATATTCGGGGTTTGTCGAACTTATGAGGCACTCAGAGTTCCGTATCGGGAACCTCAACAGTTAGTTTCATTTATGCGGATATATGCACTCATGTGGAAACTAAATTCTACAAAGAACCAGAATTGAAGTAAAGAATGTGATGACCTTTCACTGACCCTACGAACCCAATTTGGCTATCAGTCTACTACAAAAAGGGAGATCATCTAGTGCTCTTTCGGTTGTCAGTGAACTAATGTTTCAAGAATCAACAAGTCAACTCAGTATACAGTGTGTTTTACGATGTGTACAGAAAGGAAAGTCCGAAGAGACAGCTGTATGCGATTGATCACCACCAATAGAAGTATGCTTCAAACAGGATATGGCATCTTAATTCCTAGAATAAATCAATCAATGGGAAACGATAGTAGTCGTTTGTTTGTAAGCTGATCTCGACCATTCTCTTAATTCAAGCCCAGATAACGAACTGACGTTTAAATGGATGTCCAAAATAGGTGGAGAATTTCATGGGAGGGAAATTGTCCAAAGGAATTCTTAGCTAGTAATCAGGTTTTTCATTAACTTGGATCACGTTCTGTCCGAATTTGAGTGTGTTTGCAGAGCCCATAAAATCCAAGCTTGACAAGGTAATTTGAATTCTTAGCAGTCAACTGAAGAAACATATATCTTATGAGATTCATATGTTAAGTGTTAAGTATCACGTTTACGTTTCATTTATTGAACACGGTTAAAAGTTGGAGAGTAAAACCCAAAATGGAGCGTCAAAATATTCAAGCACGTAGAAAGTTCACAATCCATTTCCGACAAGTAGACGATGCCAAAGAGAAAAATTCGCTAGGTGGGAAACACTGTACCCAAATTGTTGTAAAATCTTCCCACATTTTAACTGAAACATAAACAGTAACTTTTCGGGAACTCTACTGAAAACTCGCCAAATAAGCCAAACCAAGTCAAAAGCCTTTCGTCTACTACAAATATACTCAATTGCAAGGGCTAAAGCAGCACTATTGAACACGGTGTGCATGAAACATGAAGCTGAGGGAGAGACGGTATTGTCTAGCTATCAAAGAACAACTGGTTTAAGTCGGCAGTCGGGTGAACTGAGTTCACCATGATCCTTAAATTGTGTTGAATACTGATTTCTTTAAAATAACAGTCAGCAAAATATGGCCTTCTTGAGTGACGTGAAAGTGGATGAAATAGCATAAAGCTTTTACAGAAATCGTTGGCTGAGAAAAGCCTCCGCTAATCTGAATTATTAACTTCACGTTTGGTTTTTATGATGACTTACAGACAGATGCCAGTAAAGTTGGCACCTCATACCCTTTATGAATAGAACATCTGGATTGTGTCCAGCTACGAATTTTGTATGGAGTTAACTGCTCTCAATGTGTGATGCTGTTTTCTCTCAACTTTGACCTTTTCAGTAAAAGTTCTGTCATGCTTCGTGATAGGATAAACAGTCTGATAATTCAGTAGTAGTCAGAATTCATGGACAGTTCAGCAGCCAGTTTGAAAAAAAATTCCGGGAGCACAAGTTTCCTGTTGATCTGTTCGGCGATCTTGACGAATTGCCCGAAAAATCCTTGCCACCAATTTTGGAAACATTGCCAGTACACTATGGGGTTTGTATTAATGATGCAAAATTCAGTGAATGGATAACGAGCTACCTAAGTCCCAACAAATTAACGCAGCCGGGCTACAAATACTGTTACTCTTATAGCAATTTTTGTCGAATAAAATGGAGGGAAACCAGTTAGCACTGGGGTCAACATCTCCCAATCCTTAATCTAAGGTTTGAAGGACTTATCCTCCCAAAACATTCGAGGAGATCATAAAAGAGGAAAAATTCCTAAGTAGTTGGGTTCCAGTCGGCTCTTTGGAATTCGCCCATGGAATTCAGAGGTCCATCAGTTATGACTTACTTGGTATGAGCATGGAAACAAAGATATGAAAAATTCTGATAAAGTAATGACGTGTTATTACAGGGAGGCTATTCGATGCCTGTGAATACAAATTAAAGGACGTTGTCTTACCTGGCGAGCAGCCAGCCTGTTCGAACGTGACGATCCGTTACCCATAGCAATACTATTCCGAGAATCAACAAACCTATACCAACGATGATGAGGAGATAGTGCGAATCCATGCAACAGTAACAGGCAGTCAAGCGTCCTTGGCTGCCATCCATGTAGGAACCAACATCTCCAGATCGATTTCTCAATCCCGGCAGTTGATGGTTACCCGTACGATCAAATGAAACCGTTGATTTAAGCTGCCGATACTTCTTATGATCGGGCTGTTGGGTTCGTTGGTGAAGGCGCTCCTAAAACCCGTGAAAAATATGTTTACCTGGGATTTGCATGACTGTGAATCACAAATAAGGTAAAAATTGACGTTCACATCACCCTTAGTTAAGCCGTTCTCTTTTTGTCCTGTTTCAATTATTCTGATGAGGTTATCCTTGGCCAGGTTCGGTTTTCAACTCCGAACATATGGCATGCGAGGTGAGCGTGCTAAGACCACTCCACAGGCGCACCTGAATCATCAGGTCCTGACAGGCGGGCTTGTTCGCGCTTGAGTGGTGACAACGTTTAGCCCGATGGCTAAAAAACGACCCAATACCCATCGATCGATCTGCCTGTGAGGAATTCTTATTCGGATAACACTACTGACTTACGGCAGTGGAGCATTGGTGTTGCACACTGTGGTCATGCTTCGATGGTGATGCTGGGCACTACTGAATCATGAAAACAGTGGGACAACTAATAATTACTTGAGGTTGGTTGCGGAAATGGTAGAATTCACAGTCAAACCACACCGATTTGATCGGTCCTTCTCCTTTCCTGGCGCAATGGTTCTGGTGCATCCACATCAGCGGGGTGTGAGGGGCGGAGCATTGGACTGTTCAGATAATTAGAGTGTGTCCAACGTGCGCTGGGCAGTGGTCACATCATGCTTGACTTGTACGTCAGTTTAATCTTTTTGATACTTGAATAACCGTTCAAACCGTTTCTGAAAGCCTGACCAAATCATCTTAAAGCCTAGAGAGGTCAAATCAAACCTCACTAATAAACTCGAAAACTTTTAGGCCATGACTACAGTTTTGGTATCTTCGAGCGCATTCGGGCAATTTTATTGACTGCGCGTGCAGACTGCATGGCTCTGTGGGTGAATACACTGACTGGTTGTGCTCCATTGGCGAATAAACTGAGGTTGTTCATTCAGGTGCCCGATTTCCAGGAAATGGTCAAATAACGAAAGGCTATTTTATTCATCTCGTGATCTTTTGAACGGAGGACTTTTTTGCGTGAAAATTCAAGACAGAGCCATAACAAAAATGACTTGGCTTGCAGTTTTGTTTTTGCTTCTTAAGGGATATTTCCTGACTGGACTGTAGGTTCAGGCTCACTGTTCTGAATGGATGGTTGCTACCGATGTTATTGTACACCGTACCTTCACTCTACCCTAGCCTTGAAGCGGGATAGGCGCAAACTAGTTTGCTAACCCAGAGCAATGTTTATCTGCAGTTTCACTTATGTCATTTACACTGGAAACAGAAACTGCCTTCCACCAAGTAGGGGGGATGTCCTTTGGCTAAACGATACTGCTTACCCATGAACAATGTGCTTTGCGATATTTACGACTAGATTCGTAAGGGTCATTCAGTGAGACATCCAAGAACCAGTTGTTGATTCATGAACTAGTAGGCAGAGTCACGTGTCTTTTGGGCTTCAAACTCAGTTGCGTAGTGTTTAGCACATGAACGGAAACATTTATGGCCAATTTTTCGAAATCTGGAAGCAGCATCTGGTTTCAGAATGGTATAGATAGCATCAAAGACTTCAAACTTCCAACGAAGTTTGTTTAAAACCATCAAAAAATAAGTGACGATTGACGCATTAAAAGTGAAAGAGATCGAGTGGTCACGATCAACACAGAATGATTTTACTCCGAATGATCCGTTTATTTCAAATTCGAATTATGTTCAGCTCTTCTTCCATCTACTTGAGTTAGCCAGACTGTCAGCATTTTGGACGACGGAACAGCTATCTTACTGAGACATATTCTCTATGACACCTCAAAGGTGTTTGTCTTCTTATTGGCCCAGTGGAAGTCAAATCCTGAATGCTATGACTAGCAAAGTAGTTTGTTGCCATAAAATCCTCTTGATTGAACGTGCTGGTAGAACCTCAAGCATGAAGTATGTTTCATTTCCCTTTAGGGGTCGCGTAGATGCGACGTACACCGCAAGCCAAGATAAAATAAGTCATCTTCAGAACGGTTCATGTGGGACTCTTAAGTCAGATTACTGTATCTTTGTCCAGTAATCCTGAACCCATCTATTACCACGTCGAAGCTGTGCAGGGTGCCCGACATTTTGGTCTAAAGGTCCATATGACTTCCCGAATCGCCTGGGTTTCGCAGAAAGTTTCGCAAAGTTAAATTCAGGCAACGCGACCCTCGTTGCACTTAAGCCATCAAGAATATTTATGAAGCGATTATCCATACCATGTGTTCTATAGATCTCTGTTGAGACTTTGTGAGAAAAGCATCCAGTGGCATACCAGTTGCACTATTACTTCAATGGTGTATAGGAGTATGGTTGAAGTTGGTAGATTCTTAAGGCCCATAATAAATCCTTTAGGCCAAAGTAAGTAGGTTGTACCCAAAAAAAGACGATTCTTATACGAATTCCATAAGGCAAATGTTCCAGTAGGCTAATCACCACATATGCTATTCAGATTATTAGCTTATAAATTAAAGCCACTCAAGAATGAATCAAGTACATTCCCTGGGAATTCATACGAATTTGTCAATAAAGTCGAAGGGCTTCCTTCGGAGATACACGATGTCCCCATGAGTTTCGACTTAATATCAGTGTACAAAAACAAAACCAGGAGGTAACCAGGTTACTAACAAACACAACACTTGAGGAAAGGACACAGCCGTCGGTGGATGAACTAGATGAGGACATAAAAGTGTATTTGAATCTCGATCAGTTTGTTTTTTTACTCAGAAGAACAGGGTGTTGCAATTGGATCTCCAGTATCCTACAATATCGAGATAATATGGAAATGGAGGACTTCGGAATAAATGACCTTGGCCGGATATCATCGTCCACTGGAAATGTTTGAGCATCATTTCGACGCAATGAGTTCAACAACTTTCACGATCATCACAATAGTTTGAATCCTCCTTTTAAGGTTAGCGTGGAGATGGAGTCCACATAGGACAAACTACCTTTCATGGACTGTGTGAATAATGGAAAATTAAAAACGACTATCTACCGGAAGCAAACAGACACAAGGACCATCTTAAACTACTCATCAATACATCCAAGGTCCGTATACAGTAGTAGTGCCCTATCGATATTTAGTCGAGTCAGTACGCTGTGCACAGAAGAGGTCGACCGAATAGCAGGTGAGATCGAGAATGCCACCAGACTACAAGAAATAGGATGCACAGTGAGTTTGCTTAGGCAGCAACTTAGAAGGATATCGGCTCCGGTATCTAGATTGGCACAGCAGTCATTCCGTATATAGCGGGAAATTGGCGATAATTGGAAAACTACTGAACTCAGCCAACTTTCGAGTTGGATTCCATAAGGGAAAAACGGCGCCCTCAGTTTTGGTACAATTGAAGGATCCTCTCTCGGTTGAAAGGGACTGTGTGTATACAACGATTGCACTGGGGGTTGCATAGGACAAATCGCATACCAGATTTTGAGAGTACGGAATGACGATAAACGAATGACTATGGAATGGGGAAGAATATCACGAGCTGGTCAAAGCCTCAGCAATGGCGGTACATGTGTTGGACACGGGACATAGAGGATGTGGAAGTCTCAACGCGGGAACTGAAATTCACACCTCGATGTTTGATAGCGCGAGGCAGTGGAGGTCACCAAGCATCACATCGTGAATAGAATCGAGAGTGTGGGACTGGCGAGCGTATGGGGAACAGTCTTAGATAAGCTGAGTTGACGCGTGAGGGTGTGGGGTTGTCAAAATACACAGATTCATTAAATCCCGACATGTCCAAAGTTCAAATAATTCCTTTCCCTTACACAACTATCATAGCACTAGCTCACCCTCACAGCTGGCCATAAGGTGCAAATGACGTTTGAAAGTCATCGTGTGAAGCGAACCGGACGAACTAGATCCTAAGTTGGACCCAATCTTATTTTGATTTCCCCACCCCAACACCTGGTGACCCACTCCAACACTCAAAATCCCTTAGCACAGATTTAGTCTGACTTTTCTTTCCGCCTTAGGCTCGACCTATCTCGTAACCTAGTCACTTGGCCTGACGAAGCTTCTTTGTCAAAAGCGAAACATAGCGTATCAATAAGTCTACTGATTGTTCCCAAACATTTCTGAAGAAAGTATCCAATCATGCTTAGACTATTTTGAAATCCCAAGGCCACAACTTACCAAGAATGAAGCGCGCCCTTGGTAAACCAGAATACCTGGTTGACTTAAGTGGTAATTGTCTTCAAATCCTTCACATTGTAAAGTACAAAGTGCTGGGGAAGAAAAATCCCTAAAGTTGCAGATGATCCATCTGAGAATTCTAACACATTTGAGCAATGACAGAAACATAAACAAATGAAACCACCACAGTCTGAGGAAGGCGTGTGGTGGAGAGGAAACACTTCTGGTCAACAGCACGACAAGCGTTTAATTCATCCCAATAATTATAATTAATTCGCTATTCAGGACGTTACACTGGACGTTGTAAAAAAATTCCGCAGTTACCCGCTTTTTCTAAAATTTTGACTGTTTATAGTACCACGCTCCAGCTCACTGAAAGTAGACCACCACTTTTGATAATAGGGAAGTCGTCGCAAAATCGTTCCAACATACAAAGGATGACCGCAAAGTGGGTCGTGTCCGGCTTTTATAGCGTCTCTCTTCCGGTCGATCCTCATTTCTACTACTAGCATTTCATATTGATTGACAAATTCAAGCAAGTCGTCCTCATCAATGTTGTAAACTACTATCAGCGTATAGACGTAATCACAAACGGGATATTAGGCTAGGTTTCACATGAGTCTCCCGCAAAACGAATTGGTTTACAAATCAGTATATTTCACTATCGCTTTGATTAAAAGGCGCTGGCAAGTCGTACAAAGAAGGTCCTAAAACGTGCTTTTGGATTGTACGGGGAAAGCACCAAAATATACTTGAAAAATGCAGTGCTTGCAGCAGTTGTCAGATTAGCTGACTTCTAACTTCACCACTTAGTCCGGATGCATTCTAATACCCTGAGCCAATCTGAAATGAAAGTGGGCTTCATACCATTTGCATCCGAATCCTCCTA